AAAAAGTGCGGCTTAGACCTCAAAAGCGTGCATCCTTTTCGGCTTAAGAAGTTAGATGTCGAAGCATGAGGTAAAAGAAGAAAGTAGACCTGCAAAGCAAATAGTGTCTCGCCCTGGAATTCGCTTTGTTATGTAAGACGAAAATTTTACTAGTGAAATAAAGGAATGTCAGAATAACTTGATCAGAACACTTACCACAAGCACCAATATGCTACACGACTGGGTCAACCAGCTTCGAAATTTTAAACGTAGCGCCCCGTTGAAGTAAACCTACGGCGACCCCACCGGTACACTGTGAAAATCTGCAGAGCCCTTGAGAGATAGATAAGGCCAGTCACAAACGCCCTTTCTTAAATAACTCTTGTTTTGCCTCAGTAGCTATAAGATGCGTGGGGCTTGCTCCGGAAGTTCACTCCAGCAGCTGTCGAGGCCATATGCCTCAATCCTCAAGATATTTGAAAAAATATCCCCTGCTATGCTGACACAGTTTGCTTACTTGGCTCATACGTCGAGTACGTGATGGATCTGGCCATTTGAGAGTAGTCAAACAATAATTGTCTCCAACTCGTCATAACCTCCATGGAGGGTTAGATGATTACCAGATTGTGGGCTTTCCAGGAACTGACAGCATATGTTATTTTGAGGAATCGCATTCGGTAGGCGAGCGCTTTTGACTTTTAGTGGTAATTGGAATTTCGACAATGACTTCATTGTGATTCATGTTTCAAGCAAGCGGAAAAATAACTGCCGAGTTCCGTTCGTATATTCATATCTATATCCATAAAAACAATCTATCTGTGTTTCACTTCCCGCCTTGGGATGCTTACTCTTTCATAAATATAAATGCATGTCTAGAACCACCTTTTTAGATCCCTACCATTGCCCACAAGGAATATTTTTATCCAATAGGTGGCTAATTAGAGTGAAGTACGAACGATGTAAGCAGTTTTCACACACTGTCACAAACGGTCGCACGGTGCTACAGTTTCTTGAAGCCTTTACAGGCCTCAGAATGACTTAGCTCGATACGTTATAGGTAGTTAAGGAATTTGTAGCCCTTGTTTCTACATTATCCGCTTTCTCCAAGTTTACGACTCTTCCTTGTGATATCATTCTGGTCAGTCTCTCTCACAACGGAGCTAGGGTTGCACTCCTAATAAAGTGAACTCATCAGTAAGGGAGTACATCGCAAACATGTTACAATCTTCATACTAAGGCATCTCTGAATTGTCAGGTTAGGCCAATTTCCTCAGGTTTCAGAGGGTTCCTAGTGGATTTGATGGCTTCTCAAACAACTCATCAGTTAAGGAAACCGAAGCTGTTCCAAGCTGGATTTACGTATTTTATTTACAGTGAGGTCCGAGGGAGAACTTAGAGAGCTGACGATAGTCCCCCATGTTTTGTACTATTTAATAATATGTTTTTTTCAGTCCACCGGTGGCATTGTTTTGCTGGCGGAGAGCGCAGCAGTTTAGTTTTACAATTACCCTGCCTTTTAGCCTCGTAGTTGCGGACAGTAGAATAACGCGTGTGAAACAATTTTTGAGCTCAGACTTGCGTATTCACAACAGTCTAACTGCGACTCTCACATTGCTGTGGATGAGAAGGCCCTGCTGAAGACTGGCAGTTTATTCCCTCTTAAGAACACAGGAAAGCAGGTAAATTAGAATCCGTGACCAAGTTTTCTTCACCTTCAAAGAGTTTTTGACACCTTGAAGAGTTACTTCGTGGAAAAAACAACAGCTGTTCGGCACACAAACTTTGAGGAGGTGAAGCACAACTCGCTAAAATCAGATTTTCTCTCATGACTAATGCGCGAAAGAAATCTGTCCGCAATAACCAGGCCTTGAATGACTTCTGAAGCCAATTACTTATATCGAGAGATTACTCGTGGGGAGTTTCGTTTTCTGAAAGTTGATCCACTTGGGCAAGTATTTACGAGGTTCGTCAGACGACATGAATAAGTGGGTCTTGCAGTCAAATCGGGCGCCTCTTTCACGGAAAGCCTTAAAATTAGTTGTGGATGGTTGCAGTATCTGTAGACTTCATATCACTCTTGACTGAATAGTCCTGTGTTGACGCAATTGCTCCAGTAAGTCCCAACAAAATGGGAGAGGCACTGGACTCAAGTTTGGTCGTTCTATGGATTTTCAGTTAGATGAAAAGAACACCTGAGACAGGCATATTAGCTTCTGTCCGGGCAGTTTGTCAGCTGATCCAGCAACTTATTGATCAAGTAAACTGTGCGTATCCCCGTGCCGCCCACTTGATTCAAGCTATTTGTGTCCAACTCGGAACCAGATTCATTGGTCAAACCTTTGAATTTTGTTCAAGAAAAGGTGCCGTTCTGCCACAGAATCAACAAATGTTAAATATCCTACGCTACTGTTGATGAAATACACCACAAACATTACTCTTCAGCTGTTAGTTTTTTTTGCTAATTCTTTTGTTGTTGTCGCACATGTGTAGGTTAGACACCCGGAATATCAATGAACAAAGGAGATACTTTCTTTTCCGTATGCATTTCGCAGAGGGATGATTAAGTCACAACTTGAATACAAGCATCAGTCATTTATTGCAATTTTTTTAAAAATTTTGCTTGCTTTTATTGGTCAGGTACGCTTATAAACCCTCCGAGTAGTGTGCCTAACTCGGCAGGTTTTTCGCTCTTTCCTAGTTGAAGTATGTGTGCGGGAAAGGAACCCCAGAAACCAAAAAAATATTTTCCCACTGCTCATGAGGAATCTGTTTTTACCAACTTAATTCAAATTTTATGAAAACGATTCCGAGCATAACCGACACACTTTGTTGCGGTTTATGTACCTACACAGTTAACGTTCGATGGTGCGTCTACACAGAGCCGGAAATACGAAAATGCGAAAAGCTTCGACAGTCCATCACCACAATTCCTCAGCTTTCCATGATGTACACCCTGACTTGCATTGCCGGACAAGATGAATTTCAGTGCATGCGGCTCATTCATTCCCGGGAAGCCGATCTGATAAATCTGGACGCTGGTCTCGCCTACTACGGCAGTAGCCTGTATAGTCTTCGACCAATCGCTGTGGAGAACTACGCGTTGGATAATAGTCCTGGTGTACGTGAACTGTTCTACTATGCCAACGTTGTTGTGCCAAAACATTTGAACCCAGTGCCTACAAATCTCCGTGGGAAGGATATATGTTCTGCAGGTAAATGCGGCACATTGTTCTTCAAAGTCTTACTCCCTGCGTTGTATTTCAGGTGCTGGTACAGCCGAAGGTTGGGTGATGCCTTTTGGAAAGTTGTTTGCTGACTTGCGAACTATCCCTGTGACCCAGTGCAACAGTGTGGTTCGAAATTTGATTGGATACCTCGGGGACTCGTGTATACCCAACTCTTTGAGTGAGGTGTTCAACCCGTTCGGTGACAATACACAGGAAGTATGCCAGTTATGTGCCAATCGTGGATTGGAAACCTGGTGTACAACACGGGATCGATATGCACGAAATCATGGTGCCCTCAGATGCTTACGCGAGTACACAGAGAACATAGAGTCTCTGGTCAAACCAACGGCGGCTTTCGTGCGAGCGAGAGAAATTGAGTTGGCCTCTGTGGATGGGTTTCCGATGGCAGATTACAAGCTGCTTTGCCCCACCATTCAGGCTGAGTAAGTCTGAATCAAATACACTGGTCGATTAGTTTTTTAGGACAGGATCTTCAGATACATAGCGATATTCAGGTGTGCATCATTATACGACAAGATAACAAAAGTACAGTGTTTCTTACAAACCGAATAAACCCTGGCAAAATTCAATGATGGACTACCTTTTGATTGTCAGTAGCTGTGTAATTTTACTTAAATTTGGTTGATATCAATTCCTTCCCGGTTATTAAGTACAACTATAAATGAGCGTCCTCATTGGCACTTCAGGGCGAGAGTTCAATCTCCATCAGTTGAAACGATGGTTCATACTGTTCTGCCAAAATCGTAGCGTCTCTGTAGAAATCCGGTTCACCCAGCATTTCTGAGTTGCCGACCGGGAACTTTTAGGAGGGTACCAAGCTACTCATGAGTAGCTAAAACTTTTGCCTATTCAAAATCCCCTTGGGACCTACCTCATCAGTGGAGATGGAGTTAGCCAGCGTTATCCATTATCAAAGAACTCAGTATAAAATGCCGAATATGTGTAATGTCGGTCCCAGTTGGAGTTTCGGATGCAATAAGCTCCCGAAAAATACCTAAGGCTAACCTTGGAACTTAAAGTTTTGTCCCATTCCATAAATAATTAACTATGCTTCAATGAAATCCAGGGGAGATATTTGAAGGCTTACCTAGAGAAAGTATAACTGAGTGTAGTTACGAGGGGAATTCTAAACCTTGCATGAGTTAAGCACTGTGGCAGTTTACTTCTCCGACGGAATATTTCTTTCAGTGGCACCTGGACGGCTGATTTCAACGCCTCCACAACTACATGTCACTGGGGACAAATTCCAGCGAGAATGATTATGACGATTTTGACCGAGCCCAATGTAACGGAGTTCAACAATTTCCTCACAACACTGGTGCAATATTTTGGTCCGTCAGGGAGTCACCTACAAACCTTCAGCTTGTTTCAGTCCACTGGCTACGGGAATCCTGATGAACCAGGTCAGACGTATGACCTGATGTTCTCCGATTTTACTAGGAATATCTTCGTCCCACCGGAGGAAGAAACAGCAACGTACTATCGATGGATAAGTAAGTCGAAGCACTCTGCTTATTACTTGATTCATCCTTCATTTTTGAAATATCGCTTCCTAGGGTATCAGAATTTCCGATCTTCACAAGATTTCCCTAATTTCAGATTTTACTGCCTGAAGCTCCGTTATATCCACCTCCAAATTGTTCGATTTTTATATCAAACAGCTAAAGACTTGATTTTTACCAGATACTTTTTTTACAATGATTCATTTCTGGTTCGGGTTCTTTCCTGTTTAATTTGTTTTCAATATCACTTTAGAACTCATCAGAGTGTTGTTGAACTACACGGCATTTCATCGTAGTTTATGACAGTCGACTATACATATCTTGGCACAAAAAGGGGAAGCTCCACATAGTAAAGAATCATATGGCGGACCATCTTCATAGCTATTTTCAAGAATTACACAACATACCTTGTATAGTTACGCGTAGTACTCACTCGCAACTAATAGGAACAAGCGACAAATTGGAGCACCGAATCCTCTTGGTTTAGGCCTCCGGCGAGGATTGAAGATGTTCCTATTAAGACGCTAAAATCCCATTCGTATTATCATTCACGGATGCAAATATGCAAAGACTGCGATGAGATGCTGTTTATAAGCTATGAATTTGATGACCCCAAGCGTGTCATCTTGCTAACCTGAAGGATACCGATCGTTTCTGTTGTTGTATACGACATGGGTTGTCTGAGTTGACTGGAACTCTCGGTAGGTGGGTCGCATAGATTGTCATTGGCACTTCCGATCAGCTGGTGGCCTCAGTCAAACAGGAATTGAGCATCGATAACATTTACTTGATCGGTGTTGGGTTGAACACATGTTAAATCAGGTGCCCACACATTATACGACAATATGGAAACTTCCACATTAACTCCAATAACCTCCGCATTGATCAGACCATACCTTGACATCTACAAAAACAGGAATTGTAACAGCCCTCCCCCCACACAAACACACATGAATGAAGGAATGCCGAGGAAGATGTAAGTGAAATGTCAAACAAAGCGTACAGTTGAGCATACGTGGTAATCGTGTTTCTGCGTACCGTCTGTGTTCATAAGTATAACTACTCATGAGTAACTGAATTTTTACGGGTTTTTACCTACAACGGAAGCCAAGCAGTTGCAATGACCGATTTTAGCCCAGTTCCAAACTTATAACCAGGGTAAGTCTCGATCGAATCTGTTGTCATCTCCATATATGTGTTGTTCTAACTCAAAATTTATGTTGTACCCACTTTTTTCTCAACAACTGCTACCAACACCCCTTTGATTCACCTTGTTTTTATCGACCGCCTGCATTGCCCCCTATCTAACGAACGAATTTACGCAGTAAGGGTTTTCCAGATAAAATCCACTGAATAACAGATCGATCATACTTCTTCTCAATTAGCACCACTCAATCATTCGATGCCGACGTTCTGATCTATTCCCATACTCTTAGTGCTAGGTGAATAAATCATTGACAATATCATATCCGATCTGCGTGTGGAGCACTAGAGCGCCATCGATAAAAATACTGGATATTATACAGTGAGTTTATATCAAGTGAAGGGAACCAATAAACTCACCAATTAGCTTTTTACGGAAATGGTAGTTTAGCACGGAACCCAGAAAGACGAAGTTTATATGAAGAAACGACACAAAAGTTTTAAATTTCCGATAGCCACAACTTTGGGTCGTTCTGCGCGTTGCATCTTTCTGCGTGGCTAGACAGCCTGATTTGGGAAGTGGTATGGTTGTAGGAGGTAAAACCATCTTGCTCGCTGTTTGGTGCCATGTTAACCAATCGATGTCGGTAGAACTCCTTCTGGAGTAAGGGTCTTGTTGCGTAATGCCTCCGCACAAATAGGAAAAGGGCAATAAAACCTCGAGCAGAATATACCAGGCGATCATTGTAGACCTATGTAACGTCCAAACTAAGGACACGATCGATTCAAGGTTCAATCTCCCAACCCACACTATAATAACGGCCGTGGCCATATCACTAGTTCTAAATAGGCACTGCATCATCATCATCATCAACAACCTGAAATCAGCGTTCAACACCGATGCTTCACTGCCGTAAAATAGGTAAATAACCGTGAAGATAACACCCGATTGTCAACAGGCGGTAGCTGGGGGTGACCCGTGATTTCCACACTGTACTCAACCAGTGGGTTAATGGCTTGCATCGGT